GTGGAAATAAATGGTGGCGACTGGTTGAGAACATCGAGAATGGTTGAGGTGGCGAAAAGCCGAAAAGAAATTAAAAAGGGAAAACCGGTTGCCCATAACCTCATTCAAAAATAGTGTGACGTGGGAAAATATTGGAGCAAGTGTCCGTTGGAGAGTGCAGGAGCGAGTGTTCCTAGCATTCCTCTTTTAAAAAATATTGGAGGGATACTATCTTTTAGTATTTAAAATACTTAAAAACCAATTTTAAAGAATAGTAAGGATAATATGATCAATTGTATAAAATTATTGTGATAACAAAAATTCTTCATAAGTCTCTACAATTTTCAAATAAGCACCTTATTCTTCAACTACCTTGCTCAAAAACTTAATAGATTTTGTTTTCTTCTTCTTCTTCTTCTTTCTTTTAATCTTGAGGATTTTCTCATTGAGTACTGCAATCCAACCCGTACTACAATTTGTTTCTTCAACTACCTTGCTCAAAAACTTAATAGATTTTGTTTTCTTCTTCTTCTTCTTCTCTTTCTTTTAATCTTGAGGATTTTCTCATTGAGTACTGCAATCCAACCTGTATTAGAATTTGTTTCTTATTCTTCAACTACCTTGCTCAAAAACTTAATAGATTTTGTTTCCCAATCTCACTGCACTTGTAATGAAAATCTTAAAATTCCTTCACTAAATTAAATTAAATACCCTATGATTTACAATAGGGTAAACGGAAAAATGGATCGGCCTTCAAAAAGAAATTGCAAGTTGACCTTATTAAAACAAGGTTAAATATCCTTTTTGGTCCCTCTACTATAGGAAAAAGCCCTTATTGGTCCTTATAGCAAAAAAATCCCCTTTTTGGTCCCTAAATTTTAAAATCCGGTCCCTTTTTAGTCATTCCGTTAAATTTTGGTTGATGTGGCAGGTTAATTAACGAAAAAACTTATTATTATTATTTTTTACTAAATTACGTGAAAAATTCATTTGGCAAAAATTGATGATATGGTTAAATTTTTTACCTTTAATTATCGCTTTACCACCATCTTCTTCTCCATCCTTTCCTTCCCCAACCTTTTTTTTTTTCTTTTACCTCCAGGCGAACCTAGCTCGTGGGTTCGCAACAAAGGCCTATGGTAGAAAGAAGAAAGTGATATTTGGTTTTCCAATCAACCCCAAATGGAACATTAACATAAAATTTGGCATCTAAACATCTAAAAATTGCAAGGCAAATTATTTTAAGGAATAACAAATCTGCCCGTCTTTCTGCCAAAATTGGGCTTCACAAAGGTAACTTCGAAGGAAAATTGTAAAACACATAGTGACTAGATCACAAAAAGTTCAACATATTATCACTAATCAGAGCATAATAGGAATTTCATGAAGAGAAATAACTTTAAAATTTGACCATACATTAGAGCAGCAACTTAATTTTTCGGATTCAAACGTCTGGGAAGCAAGTTTGTTACCACAAATGGCATAAGCCAAGAAATGCCCACTCCACTTTGTCGAGCAGCAATAGTAGTTGGTCCACCCAAAGAAGGGATCCAAAAGAAACCCTCTATCAACAATCCCTTAAGGTAAAAATTTTCAAAACATCAGCTATCATCAACTGGATTTGGGTCTAAAAGATTTTTCCCATCAACATCACTCTTAGGGGTTATGCATATCAAAATCTTAGTTCATTTGCCATATCAAATTCTCATAGGTGAAGAAAATCAAACCCATTTTCAGACAAAGAAGATAAAAACAAAACTATGGTGGCTAGGAAAGCCCTAGAGATTTCATGGACGGAGCAAACCCAGGAGCTGGGTTCATCGCAAACCCAGGCTCCTGGGTTCGCCTGGAGGTAAAAGAAAAAAAGGAAAAAAAAAAGAGGCCAAAGGAAGGAGAGGATGGGGAAGAAGATGAGGGTAAATCAGTAATTAAAGGTAAAAAATTTAATCATGTCATCAATTTTTGCCAGATGGATTTTCCACATAATTTAGTCAAAAAACAAAATGAGTTTTTCTGTTAATTAACCTGCCATATCAGCTAAAATTTAACGGAAGGACTAAAAATGGGCCGGATTTTAAAATTTAGGGATAAAAAGGGGATTTTTTCGGTACAGGGACCAAAAAGAGGTTTTTCTTATAGTAGAGAGACCAAAAAGGGTATTTAACCTTAAAACAACACGGTTTATAATAAAAGGGAGAATTTTAATCCCTGCTTCTTGAGTTTAAAAATCCCTTCTTCCCTTCTTCCCTCTCTTGATCGACCCCTCGTCACTGCAAAATCCTCGTTGTGCATATTTTTCATAACTACCAATTCTCATGAGGTTTTCTTCCATTCTCATTACTAAGATTATCATCATTAGTTGGCAGATCTCCTTCTGCTGTGCCCTTAAGTTCATCAAACTCTTCTATCCGTTCAACAACCAATTACATCTATAGTTTGTCTAATCACAAAATCCTCAAACATGGATGGAGAAACTACAGAAGATGCCATCTAAGCAAAATAAAATAAATAAATAAATAAAACAAACATTCAGAATTAGAATCACATGTAACTATGGGTTTTGGGAAAAAAAAATTATATCAATTTTGATAAATCGATGGAAACTAAAATGAATAAATCTGTTTTAGTTTTCGGTTGGTAAAAACAGAGGTTTGGAAGAGGACTTGGAGGGAAGGAGACACACCAGAGTTCCCTCATTGTTGAGGTGAAAAACTCCTTTTTTTTTCATTCATGTTTTGCTATTATATAGCAAATATATCTTAATACATAAAGGTAATTTCCCACCTAATACTTATCTAATACAAAGAACAATCTACAAAACATTTAATGCAAAATTATATTAAAAGATTTGCTGCCATTTGTGCGGCTCCATGCGCTGTGCTTTGCTGCTACTTTGCAGCCTTTCATTTGCATTTGGATTTCATTTTGGCCTCATTTCATGAACAATTTGTAGCTTCCCTTGTTGCACTTTGTTGCTACCGTGCTTTGGTGTAGCTCTCCCTTCTTCATTTTGTTGCCATTTTGTGTAGCCTTTCATTTTCATTTGCTGCTACTTTTGTAGCTTAAACACCACAACCCCAACACTCCTCCTTGGTGTTAAAGCTGTAAAATCAGAACATTTATGCTGAAGCACCTGGGATCAGCCCTTTGTTGTCCATGTTGTGCTTGGTTTTCACCATTTTTTTTCTCATCATAGCCATGTACCATCCTTCTCAAATAACCTTAGCTTCTCCTTCATTATAGCTTTCCTTCTTTGGATTTTGCTGCCTTAAACAAATTTTGGAGCTTTTGCAACTAAATTGCTTTTTCTGAGTAAATAGAACAAGGAATTGGTACCTCAAAAGTGCTGCTTCATCAATTTTTCATCTTCTACAGCTTCCTTAAGGTCATAAATCAGATTCAACTTTTGGTGAACAGGATTTGGTGCATGCTCTGAGTTTTCTTTCTCAGACCACACCCTTGACATTCTTTTTCCCTTTGGACTGTTGGCTGTAGAATCCATAAACACCTTTTCTTTGTTGGTCCAGCTTGCCTCTTCACGCCATCTCCTCACTATGCTTGATCTTGAGCTATAGTGGGCCTACCATATGCCTTCGTCACTTGCTAAGTGATTTGGCTAAAAAATGGAAGAGGGATTTCACAATGAACCTACTGGAATCCATTTAGAAAAGTGGGTATTTTTTTTAGTTTTTTTTTTTTTTTTGGGTGTTCTCTCAAAATCACTCTCAAAGGTCCCTCAAGATCATTGAAGCTCTAATACCATGTTTTAGTTTTCGACTGGTAAAAATAGAGGTTTGGAAGAGGACTTGGGGGGAAGGAGACACACCGGAGTTCCCTCTTTGTTAAGGTGAAAAACTCTTTTCATTCATTCTAACAGTGAATAGTTTTGAACCAAATTTATGTTTTATTTCACATACTTTGTCATCAAAATGTAGGACATAATCATATTCAATCATGACCCACACTAATCAAGCTATAGCTAATATTAGGCACAAACAACACATCATGAATGTATTTGATACTTGTTTGTGTCTCAATAGCAGCTACTTCCTTGCCTTTGACCTCCACCAATTCTCCATTTGCAAGTCTCACTTTTGAATTGTATTTTTTATCAAGGCTTTTGAATACAACTACATTTGGGGTCATGTGGTTTGTACAGTCACTATCAATCAACCAAGAGTCACTGCTCAAGATGGCATCGCTACACTCTTCAGTCTTAATAGCCATAAACAGATGCTTTTCCTCCTCCTCAACAACTTCTGTAATTTTGGCTTGCTGAACCTAATTTGAACCTTCTTTACAAATCTTTTTCACATGTCCAAATTGCTTACATTTTCTGCATTGAACTCCAGGCCTAAACCAGCAATATTTCTCGGAATGGCCTTTCTTTTTGCAATGAGAGCAAGGTGCATAGCTCTCCTTGTTGTTTTCATATTTGTGGTTTTGATACCCTTTCTTCTCTTTTCCTTCTCCCTCACGCGCATAACCCATTCCACCTTCCGTTACTTGAGCTTTGCTTATTTCAAATGCTACAAGTGCACCTTCTATGGCATTTTCAACTCTCAATGCCTTTCTTTGCTCCACTGCTTGCAGGGAACTAATAAGCTCGGTTAAGGGAATCTTGGTCAAGTCCCTTGAATCTTCTAGAGAAGAGATTTTGTGCTCAAATTTTTTAGGAAGACTCACTAAGACCTTTTCCACAACCCTTTTGTCAAGCACATTTTCTCCAAGCAACCTCATCTGGTTCACCACCTTCATAAGACGATCTTAATGCTCCTTAACGGTTTCAGAATCCTTCATACTCAAGACTGCAAACTCTCTCGTAATTCATCACCTGCATACGCTTGGCTTTGTCATCTCCATGAAACTCTTCTTCAATCCTGTCCCATGCCTCCTTTACTATTTCACAATGAATGATCCTATTGAAAATCTCATCACTCACAGAGAATTGCAAACAGGTAAGAGCTTTGTAAGGCTTAGCAGCTTCTTCACTATGCCTTGTCATTTGTGCCAAAGTTGGTTGGCTAGTAGAGCAGGTGGTTGAATATCATTCTCAACTACATCCGAGAGTATGAAGGCTTTGAGATAAGTTTTGATCTTAACGGCCCAAATGTTGTAATTTTGGCCATTGAAGATTGGGGTTTTTGGTGAACAAGAAATGTTGGATTCCATGACAACATGGTGCTCTCTACTCATGTGTTTACACTAGGTTTGGTGGGTTTTGGTTATGCTTTGATTAACTATCAATAGGACTCTGATACCATGTTTTAGTTTTGGTTCGTAAAAACAGAGGTTTGGAAGAGGACTTGGAGGGAAGGAGACACACCATAGTTCCCTCATTGTTGAGATGAAAAACTCCTTTTTTTTTCATTCATGTTTTGCTATTATATAGCAGAAATATCTAAATACATAAAGGTAATTTCCCACCTAATACTTATCTAATACAAAGAAAAGTTTACAAAACATTTAATGCAAAATTACATTAAAAGATTTGCTACCATTTGTGCAGCTCCATGTGTTGTGCTTTGCTGCTACTTTGCAGCCTTTCATTTGCATTTGCATTTCATTTTGGCCTCATTTCATGAACAATTTGTAGCTTCCCTTGCTGCACTTTGTTGCTACCATGCTTTGGTGTAGCTCTTCTTTCTTCATTTGTTTCCATTTTGTGCAGCCTTTCATTTTCATTTGCTGCTACTTTTGTAGCTTGAACACCACAACTCCAACAAAATCCTCCAAAAAAAATCATGACCATGACCAATAAAACAGTTGCAAGCTCTGGTGATGTTGATGAGGCTCTGACAACAAGGATTTTACAACGATGGACTTTGGCAACAAGGATTTTGTAGCAAGGGGCTCTAGCAATGAGGATTTCACAATGGTGGGACTCTAGTCAAGAGAAGGGAGAAGGGAAGATGGGACTTCTAATCAAGAAGCAGGAGTTAAAATTCTCTCTTTTATTACAGTGTCGTTTTAATAAAGTCAACTTGCAATTTTTTTTTCTAGGTTAGCCTGTTTTTCCATATGTTAACATCTCCTTTTGCATTTTTCCTCTCCTTGGAAAGTTAAGGATTTTTGAAAGGAGAAAAAAATTAGCTGTTCACACCAACCAATGAAGTTACAGTAGTGCAATTCATTTATGTAGCTTTAAAGTACAATCCACATAATTCATTTTTTTTGCACAGTAATTGAATTATAGTCCCCACACATACAAAGAAGAAGAAGAAGAAGAAGAAATACATGATGCTAACATTGAAATATAGAGATATTCATCTTCATTGTGTCCTCTTAATCCTATTCAATCTTTCAAACCCCCTTCTTCTCCTCCTTGGTAACATAATTTTGAAAGTCCCCATCAACCCTTCATGTTTTCTTACAAAAACAATGTTTCCAATCACCACATCAAGAAGGAATTCACATCCATAACCCAACACTAAGTTAAGTAGGAAAAAGAAGAAGAAGAAGAAGAAGAAGGAATATGTAATGCAAAGTAGGAACAAGAAATACATAATGCTAGCATTGAAATATAGAGATATTCATCTTCACTAGGTCCTCTTAATCCTATTCAATCTTTTGGACCCCTTTCTTTTTGTTGGTAGAAAGTCCAACCCCATGTGTGAACCAATGGACTTTCCATGTGGAAGTTTTCTTCACCGGCTTATAAGCCAATTGTGGGCTAGAATTGCTTTGTTGAAATCATGCAAGATTGCATGTTGACCCCATTTAATGAGCAAAGAAAATGATGAATGGGTGGTAATGAGGCAAAGAAAAATGGTGCATGGGTGGTTTGGATTTTTTACTATAAATACCCATGCATGCAAAGGCAATGGAAAAAGCAAGAGTAGGAGAAAGCAAGAGAAATTGGGGGAGAGCTCTTGTGAGAGAAAAGAAAGAGAGAAATTGTGAGAAATCCTAATGTAGATTAAGAGAAAGTATTAGGGAGCATTTAGGAGCTTCTATATATTGAAGCTAGGGGTTGAGAGCTTATTGAGTGAGAGAGCTTCTAAATTATTGTACTCTTTTTTTTAATAGTGAATTTATTTCTCTCTTTCCTGTGGACATAGACTTGTTGAGAGGTGTACAAGTCAAACTACGTTAAATTGTTGCCACAATTTCTTTATCGCTTTCGTTTGTGTGGGATTGTGATACTCAAAATTCCCAACAAGTGGTATTATAGCTATTGGTAGAACTCCTGGTGTTATGGCAAAATGCAAACTAAAGCCATAAAGTATTGAATTGAGTTGTTCGATGGCAAGAATGATTTTGCTTTATGGCAAAGCACTGTGAAGGATGTCCTTACTTGACAAGGACTTGATGCAGCCTTAGAAGAGACCAAGCCGGCTGAGATGAGGGATAGTGATTGGAGAACTATCCAAAAGAAGGCAACAAGTCAAATTTGATTGGCACTTGCATCGGAGGTGAAATACAACGTCCTTTTAGAGACTACTCCAATAAGCATGTGGAGAAAGCTTGAAGAGATATATGCTTTAAAATCTTTAACCAATCGGTTGTGTTTAAAGATGCAGCTATATCAATTGAAGATGGCAGAAGGCACTAATATTCATAAGCACTTTTCTGATTTTAACATGATGGTGACACAAGTAGTGAATGCTGGGGACATTCTAGAAGAAGAGGAGAAGGCCTTACTTTTACTTGCATTCTTGCCAAAGTCTTACAAGTCCCTAATGCAAAGTATGCTGGTGAGTAAGACTACTTTGGTGATGAAAGATGTCACATCCATGTTGTTGGAAAATGATAAGTTTCTCGAGGAGGATGATGGTGCTAATCAAAATAATGCTTTGGTGATGGAGCACTCTCAGGGAAGATCCAATGGACGTGGAGGTGGAGGAAATCAAGAAAGGTCAAAATCTAGATCTAAGAAGGATTATGGTGATGTGCAGTGCTTCTATTGTGGTTAGCTGGGTCACAAACAGTACAAATGCCCGAAGTTTAAGGAGGACTTTTCTAATATGAAAATAATGATGAAAAGCCAAGAAACCAAGGGCAAGGGGGAGGCTAATATTGTTGAAGAAAATGTGGTTGAAGTATTAGCTTGCGATCAGTGTGATCCTAAGGTGGAGCAAAACAATTTGAGGTGGATTTTGGACTCCGCTGCAACCATCCATATATGCAATAATCCCTCAGAATTTGTGAGTTTGGTTTGGGGGGAGCTTGGCAAAAATAATGGTGGCTATTGGTGAGAAGGTGAATATTGAAGGCATAGGAGATGTTCGTCTCAATGGTCACAATGGGAGACCCAAGATTATCAAGAATGTGAGGTATGTGCCCAAGTGTTCAAGCAACATTATTGCTTTGAGTGAGTTGACAACACGAGGGTGGAAGTATGTTGGAAAGCAAGAATGGTGCAAGGTCTACAAAGGTGAAACACTTGTCTTGCGTGGAAGGAAGAACAAGCACAACATCTATGTGCTTGAGCAACATCTCGAGAGAGGGCTTAACAAGACCATGAGGAAGATGGTGTGGAGGCCTAAAGGGATCTTGGTGGATGGCAAAGAAATTAATAAGATCAAGAAGAAGGTGAGCTTCAACAATGAAGTGGTGTTTGATGATTGTTCGAGGATGTGCGATTTTCCCTCGAATCATATTTTAGTTCAAAATTAATTTTTGTAGTGCACCTAGTGTAGGTTTGTCCTATCCTATACTAGGAGAAAACTCTCAAAAAATAGGACACCATGATGAAGTGCTCTTAAGTAGGTGGAGCAAAATTATGGAATGTTGAAGTGTATGGAGTCATGGTTGGTTTCTCCTCCCATGGGGTTGGAGGGGGAGATTGTTGGTAGAAAGTCCAACCCCATGTGTGAATCCATGGACTTGCCATGTGGAAGTTTTCTTCACTGACCTATAAGCCAATTGTGGGCTAGAATTGCTTTGTTGAAATCATGCAAGATTGCATGTGGACCCTATTTAATGAGCAAAGAAAATGATGGATGGGTGGTAATGAGGCAAAGAAAAATGATGCATGGGTGGTTGGAATTTTTCACTATAAATACCCATGCATGCAAGGGCAATGGAAAAAGCAAGAGTAGGAGAAAGCAAGAGAAATTGGGGGAGAGCTCTTGTGAGAGAAAAGAAAGAGAGAAATTGTGAGAAATCCTAGTGTAAATTAAGACAGAGTATTAGGGAGAATTTGAGAGCTTCTATATATTGAAGCTAGGGGTCGAAAGCTTCTTGAGTGAGAGAGCTTCTAAATTATTGTACTCTTTTTCTTAATAGTGGATTTATTTCTCTCTTTCCCATGGGTGTAGACTTGTTGAGAGGTGTACAAGTCGAACCATGTTAAATTATTGTCTCAATTTCTTTATCACTTCCATTTGTGTGGGATTGTGGTACTCGAAATTCCCAACACTTTTCCACCTTGGCAACCTGATTTTGAAAGTCCCCATCAACCCTTCATGTTTTCTTACAAAAATAATGTTTCCAATCACCACACCAACAAGGAATCCACATCCATAACCCAACACTAAGTTAAGTAGGAAAAAGAAGAAGAAGAAGAAGAAGAAGGAATACATAATGTAAAGTAGGAAAAAGAAATACATAATGCTAGCATTGAAATATAGAGATATTCATCTTCACTGGGTGCTCGTAATCCTATTCAATCTTTCGAACCCCTTTCTTCTCCTCCTTGGTGGCCTAATTTTGAAAGTCCCCATCAACCCTTTATGTTTTCTTGCAAAAACAATGTTTCCAATCACCACACCAACAAGGAATCCACATCTATAACCCAATGCCACTACTTTCCAACCAAAGTTAGCTAGCAATCCAAAGTCTTCATTTCCTTTAGAGGTTGAATATGGTGGATACGAGGCCTTAGAGTTGTCACATTTCCTTGACAATGGCAATCCCCATAGCCCCGAATTCCCATCAAATGAATTGTTTTCAAATGTATCAAAATATCAACCCTTAGGTATAGGTTCTTTAAAATTTTTGTGAGACACATTGAAGACTCCTAGGAAATTGAGCTACGTTAGCTACATAGGAATGCTTCCTATGAGCTTGTTTTGAGAAAGGTCCAAAGCTTCAAGATTTTTGAGATTCCCCAAGGCCAGTGGGATTGGATCAAGAAGGATGTTATTGGAAAGATTAAGTAGTATAAGTCCCTTTAAGCTCCCTACTACTTCTAGAATCTCTCCCTCAAATTTGTTGCAAGAAATATCAACTGTTAAGAAAATTTCAAAAATTTGTGGATATACCAACTTCACTCCTTTGTTTGTTATGACCATTGAGTAATCAAATGGGTTAAGAAAAATGCGATCATTCACCCAAGTATAGTCATAACCATGCTAGTGTGCTGTGTCTTTGTCATCAAAATCTTTCGTGGCATTCTACCACTTGAAGTATTTTGTTGGCAGAAGGCTAGTAAATCCATTATGAGAAAGATCAATGATTTGAAGATTAGGAAACAAAGAATCTAACTCTAGAACTTTGATTGCACCGTAGAGTCCACTGGATTGCAAAATGAGAATCTTCAATTTTAAAAGAGTTCCCAGCCAAGAAGGGAAGGTGTCTATGATGTGATTGTTACCAAGATCAAGAAACTCCAACATTCTACAGTTGACCAATGATCTTGGTAGCTTCCTCTACAAATTATTTTTTTCTAGTTTAATCACCCTAAGATTGTTTCTAGATTCCCAAATTGCAGGAATTGGACCCTCAAAGCTGTTCTCTTCCAAATTCAAAATCAACAAGGACTTACTGAAGTTACCTATACACAGTGGGACGATTCTATTCAAGTTGTTGCTAGATACAACAAGAACTTGCAGAGTAGTTCTATTACAAAATTCAACTGGAATTTCTTCATTGAATTTATTTTCAAAAACTAAAAAGAAAATGATGGAGAATGGTGGGAATGGTGATTCAAGCATGTTAGAGCTAAGGTCCAACATGTTTAGATTAGTTGAGGGAAGGGAATTGGAAATATTTCAAAGTTTGTCAATAGGTTATTGAAGAGGTCCAAATACCACAAGCTTTTACTCAATTTCCATATCCATCTATGGATATAGCCTGCAATGTTGTTGAAAGAGAGGTTAAGGATCCCTAGTGTCTTCATGTAACGGAAAAAGCCTAGAAACTGTTTTAAAATACAAGAACTAAGTCCTAATGCTCTCAACTTCGCAAAAATGGGGTTGGTACTATTCGTAGTTTTGATTATCAATGAAAAATGGTTATTGGATAAGCCCAAATAGTACAAGTATTTGAACTCAAGTAATGTGTGGATGTCAATTGTAACAGTGAAGTTATTTGGAACAATATCAAAAATTTCAATATTCTTGAGCTTGGAAATAGAGCTTGGAAGAGATCCTTATAACATATTACACCGAATGCCCCAATATGTCAACTGGCTCATGTTTGTAATCCAAGATGGAAAATAACCTGTTATTTGGTTGTAGGAAAGGTCTAGAATTTGGAGATGAGTCAAGCTAGCAAAAGAAGAAAGGATCTTAGGAAAGGTGAATTGATTTCAACCAAGAGATATGGAAGTTGGTTGTGTTAGATTTGATAAGAAAGGAACTTTTTCTCCCCTTAAAGAATTCTTAAAATGGGACAAGGTCTGGAGTTTGGTAAGATTATCAAGAGAAGGTGGTAATAAGCTTGAGAAGTTGCAAGTACTAGCACCCAAATACTCCAAAGAGCTAAGCATTCCAATTGAGGCTGGTAACTTACCAAAAACCTTGTGGAGGAAATATTAACTTATTAAGAGTTATAAGTTGGCTGTGAAAGTGAAACTCAAGCAAATTCCCCATAAGACCTAGGTTGCGAGTTAAAATAAGGACTTAAAGTTTTGGTAGTTGGAAAATTACCCTTGGGAACTCTCCGAACAAAATCCACAATTAACAAGATGGATGGACCTCAAGGAGGACATATTTGCTAAGATATTGGGAATTTTGGAATTTATTTTGACAGAAGAGAGATGATAGTATTCTAGGCTTGTTAGATTTTTTATTATGGTTCTCAAGTTTAGCCTTTTCAATTCCAACAATCCTTCATTTGAAGGGTCATAATTGGGAGATAGGTCAAGGATGGATAAACTAACAAGTTTTGAAAGTTCAGATAGTATTTGTCCAGAAAACAGAGAATTAGAGAGGTTGAGATAAGTTAAACTTGTAAGATTTGCAAAAGCTGATGGAATCATAGAATAATTAAAGTCATTAAAGGCGAGATTAAGGTGTCAGAGGTGAATGAGGTGAATGAGGTGAAAGAGGCTACTGTTGGAATTGATAGAACTTAAAAGACAACTACTATTGACATCAAGGCCTATAACATGACCAGTTTCTTGGTCACACCATATGCCTTTCCAAGAGCAGCTATCCATCCCTCGAGATTTTCAGAAATTGACTTTAATTTTGGATAAGCAAATGGATCCTGCTTGTTAATGACAACTTTCTTTGAATTGTAACAAAGCAAGGCGTTCATCTCTCCAACACAGTGGATTTGGAAAGATTGTTGAAAGAAGAATACTAGCAAGATCATAAAGAAGAAACGAGCAAAAGAGGACACCATTATTTGTTTGTATATAGATTTTTGCACTCTTAGAGATTGAAGAAAATCATGCACGGTGAGGAGCATTTACAGACGAGATTCAGTTTATTTATTTTATTTTATTTTTATTTGGCCAACTTAGACGATATTCAGTTGAAATGGAGGAAGAGTATAGAAGGCTTTTTTCTTTTTAAAATTTTAATTTTTAAAATCTCTAATCTTGTGTCTCCCTAACCTTATACAGTTATAAAGACAAGATGTGTGTAGAATACCAACTAAAATCTTACATGACAAGGATTCTTATGAGATTCATATATATTACATATGTAAAGTTCAATTATATAAGTTAAACGGCATCTGTAATTTTAAGTTTCCTATTAAAATCAAAATTCAAATGAAAGTAACTCTTTAACCACTTTTTTATCTACCAAAATGTAAACTGAATAAAGAAAATTTCAAGTTGTAAATTTTTTTTTTTCTTTTTTTGTGAACAGCATTCAAGTTGCATAAAATCGAGGGCATGATTTTCATGTATTGATTCTAGCCATCTACACTTGCACCTGAAGATACATTTAAGTTAGAAAAAAAAAAAGAAAGAAAAAGAAAACACTCTTTGTTTTAATACACTTATTAGTATTCCCTAGTTTAGCCATTAAAATTGAAAATCCTACATTGAATTCAAATTTTAAAATAATAATTTTTTAATACATGTATTAAATCAGAGAGTGAATATCAATTATTATCCTAAAAAAAAAACATCTATAGGTCAATATTTGGTAATGTCAACAAGTAAAGCAGGCTATTAGCAATCTCTCATTTCAGTGAAAGTAAGCAGTTCTCAATTTGAATTGTAAACATACCGTCGAGATAAATGAAGGGACAAAAAAAATTTACTTTTCATTGTGGAATTGAAAAAAAAAAAAAAAAAACAACAGTATTCAATGATATTGTGATGCTTTGTTAGAAAAATAATCAGATATAAAAGTATTCAGTGATAATACAATTATAACTCCTATAGTTTAACCTATATATTGTGCTGTTTTGCTGTCATTCTTTATCCTTTCAGCATAAATGGGAAAACGGTTTGTTCAGTCTTGGCCTAATTAGGAGAAAAGAAACAATAATATCAAACTTACTGTGGGATGGGCCTTCTTATGTAAACTAAATAAAGAAAAGTCGCATAAATTTTCAAAATCTGCTTTTTAATTGGCCAGTACTAGGAGAAAGTTGGTCTTCATCTGTCTTCTTTCTTACAGAAAATGTAACCCTTCGGCCACTTTTCTATCTACCAATCGAATAATAATAATAATAATATTCTCTTGGGCCGAGCTGATAAGGAAGAAGCTCTTCTATCCACCAAATGTGAACTAAATTAAAAAAGGTTGAACTTGCATGCAATCAAGGCTAGGGGTGTTCACGGTGTGGTTTGGTTCAGATTTTAATATTTTTTAAACCAATCTAATTTAATCAGTTTATAAAATTTTTAAACCAATTCAATCTATTATTATATGATAACCAACCAATCCAACTTAAATTAGATCGGTGTGATTCAGTCAGATTGATCAGTTTTTAACATTATTAAATATATAAGATAATATAAAAATATTTTAACATCAAATAAAAAATATAACTATAAAATACATTAACATTCAAATTAGTAAAAACATAATAAAAAGTATAAATTACAAATAAGTTTTTATACTCTTTACATTTGTAAAAATTGAAAAGATCTGAAAATTCTTTTTGATTACATCACTAGAGGCACCAAGAACAATAAAATATGACTTCAAATTTCTAGCACAGCGTAAATAATTCTTAAATGTTAAAATTAGTTTTTTTTTCTTAATGCACTAATAATTTAATCACATCTTCTAAATCCTATTAAAAGTAAATAAAATTTAATATAAATATCACTAAAATTGATTAGAAGCATTCATAATCAAAATTTAAAAATTTCTAAACCAAATATCCAATAATAGTAGAATATCAAGACTAGATTTATTATATGGTTTTAAGATTATTAGAATAATACTTTCTTAAATTTTAGTTAGGAGAATCATAATATTATTTTAGGAACAAATTAGAAATTTAGGATTCTAAGAGTAAAGGCACAAACCAATTTTCAGGGGATAGAGTTGCAAGTGAATTAGAAATTTAGAATTAAGGTTAGGGTGCATGATTAAAATGAAAAAATAACTTAAGGAATATGGAGATGTTTTATTTTTATTTTTTAATTAAATTAATGAAGTTATTATCTAGTAAAATATATATATAAAAAGAAATTTTAAAATACTACAAAAAAATTATATTCTATTATTTAATTAAGTTATCTTGTAATTGGATTTTATTTTGTAATTAAGTACTTCGGGTGGTTTGAAGATAAAATCACAAATCAAACTAATTATATTGGTTTAAAAATCTTATAATTTAAACCAACCTAATTTTATGTTGTTTTGGATCGGTTTTTGATTAAATTGGATCAATTTAGGTTGGATCTATCGGATTGGATCTTATATGAACTCTCCTAATCAAAGGCACGTTGGGTATGTAGTTTAGAAAACAAGTTGTTTGTTTGAGGCAGTTCAAGTAAAATCCATTTAGTGGATTAAAGGATTTGATAGGAGAAAATCAAGAATTTTACGAGGGATGAGAGGAAGATTGAGAGCGAGAGCAAGAGAGAAACTAGGATTTACAAGGGATGATCGAGTGAGTGCAAAGGATAGGCAGACAGCTTGGAACAGAATCAGATCCGGATACCAGAGGCAAGATAAGCAATTCCAGGAAAAGATAGATAGCAGATGGCAGAGGAAAAAAAGCTTTGGAGGGTTTGATCGAGGAATGTATAATCAAGCGACAGCATTTTTCTTTAGCAACTTTCCGGATGACTGGAACTTTGAGTAGATGTGGCAAACTTTTAAGAAGTATGGAAAGGTGCTGGAGATACACTGCCCAGAAAAAAGAGGAAAAGATGGAAGAAGGTTAGGGTTTGTTAGGTTCCAAGATATCAGGGATGAAAGTGATTTGGAACAACAGCTGAACCAGATATGGATTGGAAATTGGAAGCTTAGAGCAAATAGACCAAGGTTTCAAAGGGGGGAGAAAGATAAGGGTCGACGAATAGAGCAACAAGATAACGGTCATCGAATAGAGCTTGAAAGGAAAAATGCAACTAGGGAGGCAAGGACTTATGTAGATGTGCTGAAAGGCGATGACGAAAGGGACAAGAAACAAGCAACAGTAATAAGACCAGTAGTATAGCCGAGGAGAGAAAGAAGTGTGTGGTGCCCCCGGAGGAGGGATGAATCATGGAATGGCCTAGAATTCAAATTTGGGAAGGAGGAGTATGACTGGTTAGATGGAAGCTATGTGGGTAAGGTCCATTCGATTGAATTAATCTCGTGTCTTCAAGAAAGGTTCTATATGGAAGGTGTGTCCTCTTGTCGCGTTTGAGCCTTGGGTGGGAAGCTTGTATTACTAGATAGTGAGGATAAGGAGGAGCTGTGTGATTTAATCAACTTGGGACAAGATTGGTTGGGGTAGTGGTTCGAAGAAATTAAAGAATGGTCTCCGAGTGTGGTAGCTACAGAAAGATTCGTGTGGTTGAAGTTCCAAGGGGTGCTTCTTAATAGTTGGAATTCAGTCTTCTTCGCTACCGTGGCAAATTTATGGGGAAAATTCATTACATTGGATGAAAGTACAGTCAAGAAAAAACGATTTGATGTGGCGAGATGTCTTATATCTACACCTATCATGGCTTTTATTTCAAAGTCATTTAGTGTTAAAGTCAATGGTGAATTATACCAGATCAAAGTGGTGGAAAAAGAGTCTACAAATGGTCTCTTTCCATTGAAATCAAATTTCTAGAAAACACCATGCAGTGAAGACCAAAAGGAAGAGGAAGAAGAAGAGTCGTGGGTAGTAAATAGTGACTTTGGAGAGATACAAGTGGTAGCTGATGTGAAAGATGTGCATAATGAGGATGATGAGGTGGCAGTAAAGGATTGGATTGAAGAACAACAGTCAGTTATTCAAATTTTGAAACAAATCCATGGTAGCATAAATGTCACTTCGAAGTCAGATGATGGACAGAGTGAAGGCCAACAAATAATCCAAATTGAAAAAGTGAATAGGGAGAAATCAGTTGAGATGGAAGTGGATAGTTTTAAAATAGTGAATGAGAAGATAGGAAATGAGAATAATGGCGAAAACTCCTCTCTTGAGGATGCAAGGATGATTGGGGGGAGTAACGAGATGGTGGAACATAGCAACAGCAACCAAAAAGTGAAGAAAAAGATAACGTCGAATGAATCAGAGGAGCAGATACAAAAGATACATAGGCCTGACAAGCATATGGACCGGGGTGAACAGAAAAAAAGAAATGGAGAAAATAGCTTTTATTTAATACAAACAAATGGACTTATGGGGTCTAGTCTAGGCCCAAGAGAAGAAGGCAGGACTAATAATGCAGAAGGGGAGGTAAGCATGGATGTGGGTCTTGTTAATAGTCAGGATGTCGAAGACCCAAGAAAAGTAAAGAAGAAAGTTGGGTTTTCGATAAATGAGTCCCACAGGGATGAGGAATTGATGGAATTCTGGAAAGGGATGGAAAGCGAATCTGAAAGTATTCGAGAATGGATGGGAAGAAGTGAGAGGAAAATGAAGAAGAGAAACAAGAGAAGATCCAAGTCTTGCGCATCTGTATATAATAATTCTACTGCTTTAGAATCAATAGTGGTGGGATTTAAAGGGAAAGGGAAATCTGCTATGTTGAAAATGTATAAAGAACAAAAGGTAAGATTCGAGCCAGGTCCAAATAGAGAAGTAGTGGATGATTCAATTGAAGACAACGGGATCCAAAATTGCAATCGGAGCAATGTCATGGGTCTCAACAGAAAAGGCGCTAAGGAGATGTGGGAGTTTGCAAAAAGTATAGGAGTCACAGCTAGAAGGAGTGAAGACGAATTGGTACAAAAATTGGGGAAGCTAGAGGCTCGAGATAGAGAAGCTGGAAAGAAGGAAGAGAGACAAGGTGCCAAGGGAGTTGCACAAGGGACATCGTTGCCATCATGATTTTTCTGACATACAACATAAGAGGGCTAGGAGGAATAGGGAAGAGGAGGGAGATACAGGAGTTGATAAAAAAGGAAAAAATAGAATTTGTAGCACTGCAAGAAACAAAAAAGGAGTGTATTGATCAAAACATGTGTAGAGGTATATGGGGGGTAGATGATTTTGAGTGGGTAGTCAAGCTAGCAAATGGATTGTCATGAGGGTTGTTATGTTTGTGGAAGTCGAGTGTTTTTAGGAAAATCAATGTTTTTGAGGGCCAGTATTATGTTGGAATTTCAGGTTTTTGGGGTACAGAAAAGGTCCCGGTGTCCATAGTTAATGTGTATGCCCCATGTGAATTAGTAGCAAAGAGAGAGTTATGGAAAGAGTTGGAAATTATTGTAAATGAAGCAAAAAGGAATTGGTGTATTGTAGGGGACTTTAACGCAGTAAAGTGTGCTCAAGAGAGAGTTGGTTGTAAAGTCTCAACAGGGGAAATGAGAAGTTTTGGAGAATTTATTGTTGACGCAGAACTTGTGGATTTACCTTTGATTGGCAAGAAGTACACATGTTACCACTCCAATAGCAACTCTATGAGTAGATTAGATCGGTTTCTCTTATCAGAGGAATGGTTGATGAATTGGGGTAACCTATAGCAATGGGGCTTAAATAGGACTATCTTTGATCATTGTCCAGTGCTGCTAAAGTCGATTTCTAAGGATTGGGGGCCTAAACCTTTTCGGTTTTTGGATTCCTAGTGGCAAAACACAGATCTCAAGGAATCCTTATCAAAAAAGTGGATAACAACATATGTTCAAGGATGGAGTGGTTTTAAATTTAAAGAAAAACTAAAAATGATGAAGAATTTTCTGAAGACATGGAATAAGCAACAAATTGGGGATGTTGAGAGGAAAATAAAGGAAGCAAAGGAGACAATTGCTCAAATTGATGTCAAAGGGGAAGGCCAAAGTCTATCAATAGAGGATTAGGAAGAGAGGAAGCGTTGCCTAGTAGAGTTATGGAGAACTTTGCAAATTCAAGAGTCTAATTGGAGACAAAAAGCTAGAGCACGGTGGATCAAAGAAGGAGATGCAAATACAAGGTATTTCCATAGAAGTGTGAAAGGAAGGCAAAGAAGAAATGAGATAAACAGTATCGTGATCAACGGGGTGCAGCTGTAGGGAGTACAGGAGATTAGAGAAGGAGTTGCAGGATTTTATGAAAAACTCTTTACTAAAGATGAAGAAAATAGACCAACCTTAGATGGTATAAAATTTAACCAAATCTCCCCAAAGGATAATGAGGAGTTAATTGCCCCATTTGAAGAAGAAGAAATAAAAATAGCCATTTGGGATTGTGAAAGTACCAAGGCCCCGGGACCAGATGGTTTCAACTTTGGATTTATTAAGGAGATGTGGGAGGTAATAAAGGTAGATGTGATGAGCTTTGTGATGGAATTTCATAATCATGGCATATTAGTAAAAGGATCTAATGCATCCTTTGTTGTGCTGGTTCCTAAGGTGGAAAACCCAACATGCATTGAAAAGTATCGACCGATATCCTTGATTGGGTGTATGTACAAAATAGTGGCAAAATTGCTGGCAAACAGAATTAGAAAGGTAGTGGATGGGATAATTGGAGAACAATAGTTAGCATTTGTGAGAGGTAGGTTATTGGTTGACAGTGTCTTGGTAGCTAATGAGGTCATTGAGGAAGCTACTAGGAAAGGGGTGAAGAACTTTTGTTTTAAGGTGGATTTTGAAAAGGCTTATGATAATGTAAGCTGGTTTTTTCGGATTATATGATGAGAAGAATGGGGTTTGGAATCAAATGGCGAAGCTGGATCCAAGAATGTTTGAAAACTAGCTCAATCTCTATGTTGGTAAGTGGAAGTCCCACTAGAGAATTTGGCATGAGTAAAGGGCTTCGGCAAGGAGATCCACTGTCCCCTTTTCTATTCCTACTGATAGATGAGGGTTTAAATGGCATTATAAGATTTGCAAAGGAGAAGCAACTACTAGAAGGTATACAAGTTGGCTTGGGTGAATTGGAGATAACCCATTTGCAATTTGCGGATGACACTGTGATTTTCGGGAAAGCTTGTGATGAAAATATATGGGCAGTAAAGAGCATTATGAGAGTTTTTGAAATGGTCTCAAGGCTGAAGATTAATTTTGGGAAAAGCAAGCTATATGGATTGAAAGTGGATGATGGATGGTTGATGAAGATGGCATGGTGGCTCAACTACAAAATAGGCAAGATGCCTTTTAAGTATCTAAGTATAATGATTGAAGGCAACCAAAGAAGGCTAGCAACCTGGCGTCCACTAATTGATGCTTTTAAGAAGAAGTTGAGCTCTTGGAAGTGCCGATTTTTGTCTCTTGGTGGAAGAATTGTAATGATTAATTTCGTACTGTCCAGCCTACCGGTGTTCCTCCTTCCAAAAGGTATCATATCTGAACTTGATAAAATACGTAGATGTTTTTTGTGGGGTGGGTGGAAGGAAGGGGGGGAAGATTAGTTGGGTGAGCTGGGATAGTTTGTGTAGGACCAAGAAAGAGGGGGGTTTGGGTGTGAGGAATTTAAGGTGGTTTAATATAGCTTTATTAGTTAAATGGTGGGGGAGGATTGCTAAAGGGGAATAGGGACTTTGGCAAAAGGTGTTGGAGGAAAAATATGATATCTCTAAAAGAAAGTGGGAGTCTTGTATGAGGGAAGGAAATAACAGAGGGTCATTATGGTGGCAAGATTTAGGAAGGTTGAACACTTTAGTGGAGGGGAAAGTGGGGTGGTTAGAGGATGGTTTTAGAGTATGTTTGGGGAATGGAAAGGAGGTCAGGTTTTGGAAAGAGAAATGGGTAGGTGAAGAGTGCATGGCTAACTTGTTTCCTAGATTATATCTCTTATCAACAGGAAAAGAAAAGACAGTATCTCAAATGGGAAGTTGGACAAGCTCTGGATGGCAATGGTCTCTTGAATGGAGATGCAAAGTTTATGCTTGGGAAGAAGAATGGGAGAAGGATTTAATGACTATGATACAAAGGACAATACCCGCGCAAAATCAACGTGATGAATGGATTTGGAGACACAATACGGGAGGCTCATATACAGCAACATCTGGATATCAAATACTATCTGCTAAGGCCATCACAAGTGATGTAGCAGTCTTCAATAAGATTTGGAACAAGGTATACCGAGCAAAGTAGCAGCATTTGTATGGAAAGTGATACAAGATAGAATCCCATCAAAGGCCAATCTACAGAAAAGGGGGGTGCTTAACCATGACAATGATCTTGCGTGTGGGCCTTACAAATTTCCTTTAGAAGACACAGACCATATATTTCTAAAATGCAAAGTAGCCAAAACATTATGGGAGCTTTGCTTTAAATGGTGGGGAATTCAGTATGTTTTGCATGAAAACTGCAAGGAGGCTTTTCAACAACATTACTTTGTATCTAAAGACAAGAAAGTTAGGCAAGGGTGGGAGACAATATGGTTTGCTCTAGTATGGATGTTATGGCTTGTAAGGAATGCCAAGATTTTCAACAAAGAACCCATCGATGTGGAAAAATTGATTGATTTAGTCCAAGTCCGTTCCTTTCAATGGGTAAAAGAAATGGTGAAGGGTCATTCATTTTCGTTCATGGAATGGATGATACAGCCAATGACCTGTTTATATGGAAGGCCAACAAGAAATGGCAAGTGGAACTAAGAGGAAGTGAAAAGCTAACAGTAAGGGGAATGATTCTTTCCAGAAACTAGGACGAGGAGCTGAAATGCAGAATTTAGTTTTTTAAAGCTTGGGGGACATACTGTTGGCGCTAAATTGCAAGTTGAGGGACTAAATTGCAAGAAGGAAGGTGTTATCTTGTGGACCTAAATGAATGAATCTTGAGTTTTGGGATCTAAATGCTCATTGTACAAAATCTGGAGGACCAGACTTGCTATTTCACCATTGAAGAAATTGCAAAAGAGGACAAAAACCCGACACGGGTGTGGCATCGACACATAATTTTGGTATCGACACTATACAGTAAGCATCCAGAACCAGAATTTCTGTTTCCTATTCTGTGTCAACAGAGTGCAGGTTGAAATTTTTAACTTGGAGGTGCTCTTGTATTAATATATCAGGAAGGGCTGTTCGATTCTTGTAAATTTATGCCTTTTAAGTTGGTATGTTTATAGGTTTGAGATACCCCTTGTACTTTGCTTTTTAATAAATGTTACTTTTTGCTGTTAAAAAAAAAAAAGAAAAAAGAACAAGTTGTTTAGAAAAATTTTCCAAAAGCAGCACATTAATTCCACCGTTCGCGCATTCCGTCAACCAAACGCACCACACCAAGTGAATCACATTATTAGATGATTAAACGCACCACTTTAATGGAACTCTGACCCTAAGGGTTTTGTGAATCACATTTGAAAGAATACATTAAAGCAACAAACTTTTAGACAGCAAATAGCATTACTAATCTTTATGACCATTTCCACGTAAATTCTTTTACGAGTTCTCCATTTGACTAAAAGCTGTTCCACTCTGATACTTATGCAGTTTCATATGGTTTGAACAATCATTCTGTTGTCCTTTTTCGTTCTTTCCACACACCACCCCCACCCCACCCCCCCCGCTTTTTCCATGTGAATATTTTAACGAAAAGATGATGAATCATTAATGTAAATCTTCAAACTATTGTTATGGCCACAACTATAATTTTATTAATATTATTAAAATTTTTTATTTTTTAATTTTTAATTTTAATTTAATTATTAAAAACAGTTAATATTTATTATTTAATATATTAAAATAATTTGAAAAATTTTCATTATTATTCTTGATATTTTAATTATAAAATATCCTAATTTTTTTCAATTTCAAAAAATTTTCTTTTAAACAAAAGAGGAGCTAATCATAATCATCGCAAATATCATATATGTCTTTTCATTTCGTTTTTTCCATGTTATCAATTTGGCCCTTCAACTTTAGATTAAATTTTATTTTGGTTCTTTTACTTTAATAAAAGTCTCCTTTTAATCCTTAAAGTTTATTATTTAGCTCATTTTTAGTCTATTCGTTATCTTTTTATACACGTAACACGTTAAATTATAGAGAGAAACTAAAAAAGGGTTTTTTTTTTTAAATAAAAGGACAAAAAAAGACTTTTTCCCCTTTTTCATTCCCCCTACTTTGGAATTTTTATTATTTAACGTATAATATATACAAAAAGATAATGGAGGGACTAAAAAGGATTTAGATAATAAATTTTATGAATTAAAAAGGGGTTTTCTTAAATAGAGGGACTAAAAAGGAGTTTTTGATTAAAGTAAAGGGATTAAAATGTGATTTTAACCTCAACTTTAATATCACAGTGGCAAAATATGATTGTCTGATTTTATATGTCATTAATATTTTAAAAAAGAACTGATTTTATGGTAAAATAACGAGTTACTTGGTACTTTCATTAATAAAAAGACTATTTTGATATTAAAATTAAAATTTAGGGACAATTTTGATACTTTTTGAAATTTAAAGATAATTTTAATATGAATTTAAAAGTTAAAAAACCAAATTAATATTTGAACTTTTTAAAAAAAGAAAAGGAAAATAAATAATGGAGAAAGTTTTCTCTTACCAAACGCATGCTTAATTTCCAACTTGTTAAGTTAAGAAAAGAAAAAATTCCAACTCGTTTTTTTGTTACAAGTTTTAAAAAAATATTGGAGGGAAATAATATTTTTTTTGTGTTTACAGTACTCATAAACAAATTTTCAAAAATAGTAACCATAATTTGATCTATTATATGAAATGTTGTAAAAGTACAAATCCCTTAAAAGTTTCTAAAATTCTCAAATAAATAGTTAATTAACCTTCAGAATTATGCCCATTAAAAAAGTTGAGGCTCGATAAAACTCAATATTCAACTTAAGAAATCAAATTTAAGTGAAGTGTACGTAGACGTCTTTTAATTTTTGCTAGTATTCTTTAATTTTTTTTAAATGTTAAAGATTTTCTCATTGAGTATTGCAGTCCAACCAGTATTAAAATTTGTTTCTCTTTATTCCACTACCCGTAAATAATAGGCTTTGTTTCTCAATCTCACCGCACGTATAATGAAAATCTTAAAATGCCTTCGCTGAATTAAACTAAATACACCATGATTTATAATTAATACGGTATCGTCTTCTTTTGCATTTTTTTTCTCTTTGGAAAGTTAAAATTTTCTGAAAGGAAAAAAAATTAGTTGTTCACATCAGCAAATGAAGTCGCAGAAGTGGAATTCATTCATGCAGCTTTAAAGTACAATCCACACAATACATTGGTATTGCACAGTACTAGAATTATCATCCCAACCCACAAAAAAAATAAAAAATAAAAATAAAAAATAAAAGAGAAAAGTAGGAAAAAGAGATAAAATGAAATGCCAGCACTGAAAGATGAATATCATCTTCATTGGGTCATCCTAGTCCTACTCAATCTTTCAGACCCTTTTCTTCTCCTCCTTGGCTGCCTGATTCTGAAAGTCCTCATCAACCATTCTCGTTTTCTTGCGAAAACAATGTTTCCAATCACCACACCAAGAAGGAATCCACATCCATAACCCAATGCAACTACTTTCCAACCAAATTCAACTACCAATCTAGAGTCTTCATTTACTTCAGAGGCTGAAGATGGTGGAGGTGAGGCCTTAGTGTTGTCACATTTCCTTGACAATGGCAATCCACACAGCCCTAAATTCTCATCAAATGAGCTATTTTCAAATGTATCAAAATGTCGGCCATTCGGTATAGGTCCTATTAAAAGGTTGTGAGATACATTGAAGACTCCAAGGAAATTGAGCTGTGCTAGCTGCATAGGAATGCTTCCTGTAAGCTTGTTTCGAGAAAGGTCTAGAGCTTCAAGATTTGTGAGATTTCCCAAGGTTGGTGGGATTGGGCCAACAAGGAAGTTATTGGAAAGATTAAGTAGTCTAAGTCCCTTTAGGCTCCCTACTACTTCTGGAATCTTTCCCTCGAATTTGTTGCAAGAAAGATCAACTACTGAGAAAATCTCAAAAATCTTTCAATATTCCATCTTCAGTCCTTTGTTTGTTATCAACATTGAATAAGGATATGGGTTTAGAAAAATATGCTCATTCACCCAAGTATAGCCATATGCATGCCAATATGCTATGTTCTTCTCATCAAAATCTTCTATGGTATTTGACCTCTTGAAGCATTCTGTTGCTGGAAGGCCAACAAATCTATTATAAGAAAGATCAATGATCCGAAGATTAGGAAACAAGTAATCTGACTTTAATTTGGAGCATTGATTGCACCGTAGAGTCCATTGGATTGCAAAATGAGAATTTTCAATTCTGAAAGAGTTCCCAACCAAGAAGGGAAGGTATCTCTCATGTGATTGTTACCAAGATCAAGAAACTCCAACATTCTAAAGTTGGCCAATGATCTTTGTAGCTTCACTTGCAAATTATTCTGTCCTAGTTTAATCACCTTTAGATTGTTTCCAGCTTCCTAAGTTGTAGGAATTGGACCTTCAAAGTTGTTTTCCTCCAAATTCAAAATCAACAAGGACTTACTAAAGTTACCAATACATTGTGGGATTGTTCCATTCAAGTTGTCGTGAGATCCATCAAGAAATTTGAGAGAAGTTCTATTGCAAAATTCAAGTTGAATTTCTCCACTAACTTTATTTTCAGAAACTAAAAATAAGATAATGGAGAATGGTGGGATTGGTAATGGAGCTTCAAGGATGTTAAAACTAAGGTCTAGCAATTCTAGCTAGACTAGTTGAAGGAAGGGAAGTTGGAAAATTTTAAAGCTTGTCAATGAGTTTCCAGAGAGGTCCATATACCACAAACTTTTACTCAATTTCCATATCCATTTTGGTATATATATGGCCCACAATGTTGTTGGAAGAAAGGTCAAGGATTTCTAGTTGGTTCTAGTAACTCAAGAAGTCAGGAAACTGTTTTAGATTACAAGAACCAAGTGCTGGCGTTCTTAACTTTGTAGAAATGGTGTTGGTATTATTCCTAGTTTTGATTAGCAATGAAAAATGGTTATCGGATAAGCCCAAACAAAGCAAGTATTTGAACTCAAGAAACGTATCGATGTTAACTGTACTAGTGAAGTTATTTGAAACAACATTGAAAATTTCAATATTCTTGCGCTTGGAAATGGAGCTTGGAAGAGATCCTTGTAACATATTAGACCGAATTTCCAAAAATGTCAACTAGCTCATGTCGGTAATCCAACATGAGTTATATGGTTGTAGGAAAGGTCTAGTTTCCAGAGATGAGTCAAGCCAACAAAAGAAGAAGGGATCTCAAGAAAGGTGAAATGATTCGGCCAAGAACTATAGAAGTTAGTTGCGTTAGATTTGATAAGAAAGGAACTTGTTCTCCCCTTAAAGAATTATTAAGAAGGTGCAATGACTGGAGCTTGGTAAGACAACCGAGAGAATGTGGTAATAATTTTGAGAAGTTGCAATTCACAACAAACAAATACTCCAAAGAGCTAAGCATTTTAATTGAGGCTGGTAACTTACCAAAAAAACTTGTGGAAGAAAGATTAAGAGTTATAAGCTGGCTACAAAAGTGAAACTTAGGCAAATTACTTGTAAGACTTGGGTTGTGAGCCAAAATAAGGACTTGAAGTTTTGGTAGTTGGAAAATTGCCCTTGAGAACTCTCTGAACAATCCACTGTTACCAAGACAGATAGACCTCAAGGAAGACATATTTGCCAAGGTATTGGGAATTTTGGAATTTATTTGGACAAAAGAAAGGTGAAGGTATTCTAGGCTTGTCAGATTTTCTATTAGGCTTCTCAAGTTTGGCCTTTTCAATTCCAACAATTCTTCATCTAAAGGGTCATAACTGTGAGCTAGTTCAAGGATGGATAGGCTAGTGAGTTTTGAAAGTTCAAATGGTATTTGTCCAAAAAAACAAAAAAAAAAAATTGGAGAGGTTGAGATAAGTTAAACTTGTAAGATTTGTAAAAGTAAATGGAATCATCGAATAATTGAAGTCATTGAAGGCAACATTAAGGTGTCAGAGGTTAATGAAGTGGAAGAGGCTACTATTGGAATCGATAGAAACTAAAAGATTGCTGCTGCTAAGATCTAGGCCCATAACATGACCAGTTTGTTGGTCACACCATGTGCCTTCTCAAGAGCAACAATCCATCCCTTGAGATTTCCAAAGATTGACTTTTGGATAAGCAAATGGATCATCAGAAGAAGCATGCTCATTAATGACAAAGCTTTCCTTTGGATTATAACAAAGCCAAGCGTTCATCTCTCCAACACAATGGATGTTGGAGAGATGGTTGGAAAGAAAAACTAGCGAGATTGTAAACAAGAAGTGAGCAAAAGAGGACACCATGTTGGGGAGATATGCGGTTTAGCGGGGTGACATTGAGTGGTCCATTACATGTTTCGACACCACATTGGGACCAAAAGATTAGCTTATTAGTTCCATCGGTCTTCACAT